CACTTTTTTTTACTAGTAACACTAGGGAAGAGAAAAGACTATTACTAGGGTAAATAATTCATTGTGCCAACATCTTAGAGACCAACCTCTCAATTTCTTATTTTTTAAAATAGGGATGGCGGAATTGTTGAACAACGATCGGTTGATCGCCCTCCTTCGGTAGAATTTGATGGTCATGTGCTTGATGAGGAGGTAAGCTATCAAGTTTGTTGAAAACCTTAGGAAACTATTGCTCGATGTACTACCAATATTTAGGTTCTTGGGATTCTCCTTCTAACATGAGAGATATTAACAACAAAACTCCTCTCGCCTTAAGATCGCCTCGGTGATCGTTACAAAGTTTTCCCATGGATAAGTTGAGTTTCGAAGTTTCTAAAGCCCATAAGGTGATAGTTTTCTCCTTTGTTTTGAATTTCATGTACGTTTGTTTGAAATCTCACAAAATAGGACCCAAGGTTTAGAGCCATTGGGCACCCGAGCATAACATCACCTTCTATTAATAGTAACAAAAAATCAATTTAGAATGAAGCGTCACGAAGAACCAAATTAACGTTCTCGAATAAACCCTTACTATTAAGCCCTTCACCACTAGCAATCATCACTTTCATGAATGGACTCGATTCAATTGGAAGTCCAACGACCACTTGCCATCCATTCATATAGGAAGTTATAGTTTGACCCCAAATCTATGAGGACAATGAGGGTGACCACTAGAGACCTTGGCTTACACTCGTATTATTTGAGGAGTAACAATTTCGATGAGTGCGTGAACGAGAGATTTACGGTGGTTCTATTTCCTAAGTGGTACTTTCCCTAAGGTGAAGCTCTTGGTCTCCTTCAATCGTCTACTCCAGCTCGATGAACAAGAGCTTTTACATTCATGAATTGCTATGTCGGATTCATCGTAGTGGAAACAAAGACCTTATCGACATCGTTGTTGTAGCTCCATTAGTGTGAAACAAGGGATGGTAGGTGAGGGATTTGATGAAGGCTGAGGAAATAAAAAAGCCACTTGCCTTATTCCACACTAGCGAGTACCCTTATAATGGGTTCATTAAGCCTATGCCCAAGTGGGCCGGATCATAGGTCTTAGGCTTTACCATATCTTCCTTCAAACACTCTAGCTAGGCCGATGCCTTCATTGGCATGCACATCGGCTCTAATTTACTCATTCGGGCCATCGATGAACAACCCCACTTCTTGTTCATCCGATAATGCTCCAACTCTAACTAACAATCGACCAAATTATGTCCGACATTCACGAATGGTTTTAGTACGCTTGAGTTTACAAAGATCGGTGAATGAATTCTCAAAAGTGGATGTACCAAACCTTTTAAATAATCCATCTTTCATTACCGACCATGCAAGACACTGGTTCAAGCTCTTTTATCGTTTTGTCCGTGATTGAGCATCCCCTTCCGGATGGAACATTGTTAACTAGACTCGTTCATTGATGAATGTGTTTTGGAAATCAAAAAATTATTCTACCCGACTAATCCCAATAGTTATATCTCGTCATGCCATTGTATCGAGGAAAGTTCAATTTAACCAACTTAGGAGCGATACCTCCACTTGATCCCTTCCTATTGAAGTTTCTACGAACCCGATGAGACTAAGAGGTAGATAATTCTTCTCCGGATTGAAATTCTTGAAGCATTTCCATCATCCGTCTACTTATGCTCTCAATCCGGCGCTCGAGTTAAAGGAAACGCTGGTCGATCTATTCTTCGGCCATGCTAGGCTTTGCTATCAAGATGTTATGGTCCCAATCGTCAATAAGACCTACCACTTTGACCTCGCGTTCTTTGCCTCCCATGAGCTATTTTGAAGAGGTAAAGTAGAATAAAAAAGAAATATGTTACAAAAGCAATCAATATGAATATTTGAATAATCTTTATTTGCTTAAGTACTTGTCTTTATATAGGCTTAATAACAATGGAAAAACAAATCAAGAAAATTATACTAGCAATCGAAATCCTATTTCTAAGGGAATAAACTAGGAAAAATAATCTTGCATGATAGAGATAATGCCAACGATTCTTGCCCATTATTAACTCGATAAGACTTAGTGACAAGATGATATTTATGAGGATAACTAGCGTGAGGACGTCTAGCTTGGTACGTAATGACTTATGTTTTTGGGTTTTAAAGAATAAAATGGGTTTAGGTAATAATTGAGTGAGGGAGAAAATTCGGGGATTTCTAATTGACGGTTGTTGGAGATCGGATTCAACAAGAAAGGAATAAAGGATTAGTTGATAATTCGGGTTTGTGGGAGTTTGGTTCTTGAAAGTGATTCGAAGAAAGATAGTTTAGGATTGGAGAAAAGAGAATCGAAGGAGGAAACACATAGGCTTAAGAGTTTTGATTTTATGGGAGATTAGTATGAAAGGGATCGATTGCGAGAAAAGCGAAGGAATAAAATCGGGGATTTTTAGAGCGAGATGAAGGAGGTGATTTAGTTTTTAATTTGTGAATAAAATGAACTAAAAGGGATAAAAAGGTTAGGATCGGGTGATTTGTTTTTCGAGTTAATTCTTAGGCACAAGAGAAGGAAAACGAGAGAGAGATATGAGAATTAAAAGGCTTAGATCGAGTTTGATTTAGGGGAGAATGAAAAATGTGTTGAGGGAATGAGCCTTGAGGCCAAGCAAGAAAAGAAAAAAAAAGTTGGGCTTAGCTAAAAAGAGAGAGAGAATTAAAAGGCTAGCCTATCTAGCATGCTAAGCCTAGTGGGTCCGGCTTCGATGGGTCGAGGGCCCACTAACCCCAAAAAGACTAATACCCCTATTTTAGCCCTTTTTTATAAATAAATCAACCAGTGAAATTATATATATATTTATTTTATGCCTAGTTTCAATTTAATATTTTAAATTTTACTGTTTCTTATATTTATTTATTTATTTAGTCAATGTTTGATTTTAGGTTTTATTTTAATAATTAGATTACATAATTAATAGGTGGACAAATCGTCGAGTCTTCTAATTTTTAGGGACAAATCACAATTCCCCACCAACAATATATATATATATATATATATATATATATATATATGCGCAATAAAAATTGATTATATAAAAATAATAAAAAATGATTAAAAAAAATGAGAAGAACGAAAAATGAGAGTAAAAAACGAAGAGAAAAAAACAGGGAAAAATAGGTAAAAAAAAAAAGGAAAAAAGAAAAGAAAAGCAAACATATAGAAAATACTAAGGAAAAATTTAACAAAGTCCCATATCAAATAGGAAACAATGTTAATTCAAATCAATCACATCTTAGTAATATAGGTTGTTCTCTACTATATCGGTTATGTTAAGAATTAAACTCGGTTCGATATTGAATTGATGAGATGCCTAGCGGAGGAGTCCGATAATCGATTCAATATGATGCCACAAAAAAAAATAATATTTATTTGGCCTAGGAAATAAAACTTGGAATTTTAACTTAAGATCAATTTTAGCAACAATAGAAAGTTTTAGGAGATAAATTTTAGAACTAAACGAGATATGATATCTTTCTTAGGAAAAAGTGTTTTTTGCTAATTGATATTTTTCCAAAGATATAATCAACTCCTTACCTTAGAGTCTACGAACTAATGTCCATTTTAGGTGTTTAATTTCTTTAATACTAAATGATAACTACGAAATTTATAAATAGCTCATATCCTTAAATAAACAAAATTTTCAATCAAATAATAATATTTTTAGGAGACCTAGGGAAATCGAGTAGTGACAATGGCTTTTCAAATTTAATATAACTTGCATGATATATATATATATTTATATATATAATACTATCTAAAATTTAAGCTGTTAAAAATTTTCAATCAATTAAAAATAAATAGATCAAAATTAATAAATTAATAACTATAGACTTTTGAAATTGATGAGTCAATCATTATGGAATATAGGAAATAATATCTTTACTAAATATTCAATTTAAGAACTATATTTCTCATATTTTCACCTAAAATCTTATAACAAAATGTAAAATTTAGTCTAAAAAATTTATTTCAAGTTTTAAAATGAGTTTATTTTAGATTTGACCCTTAGGTATTGTTTAGTAATAAAAAATAGGATGGTAACTTTGTAGTGTTTGGTTGAAAAAAAAAATGAATTAAAAATAGAAATGAAAAGTGAAAAATGGAGAATGAAATTTAAATGTGGTTTTATTTTTACGAGAGAATGTGGAAATAAAAACAAGAAATAATGAGATTTTTTTCTTCAAAATAATGAAATTAAAAAGATAAATAAAAAGTAAAAAATAATGACATATTATTTTTTATTTAATGTATATTAATTATTTCTATCATCATCGTTAAAATTAACGATAGTAATAGAAATTGTTTTTTTAAAAATAATTATTAGTATTACTTCAACCACCATTCTTCAACTTCCAACACATCACTATTAATATTATAGTACTACGCGATCACTATTTTTCTTTCCCTACCATTTTATATGTTGGTGACATCAATTTTTTTTTAATATATCATTGTTATTATCATTATCACCAATACCATTATCATTGTAATCATCTTTATCATTTTTACTATTATTATAATGGAAGAAGTTATTTTTATTTATCTTAAAAATTTGATATTTAAAATTTAAAAATTTATTTTGATTTTTTATTTTTATTATTATTCCAAATACATTATTGAAATAAAAATATCATTTTAATTCTTTAATTTTCATTTTGAATTTTACTTTTACATTCCAAACTTTTCATTATTGATGTTCAAACCACACCATAGATTAGAGATGGTGAGAATAATTTTTCTTGTAAATACATTAATCTAAAATGGATGGTTTATTTAAGACCTCTCTCTTTTATATTGGACAAAAGGTAAATAAGTTTTGAAATTTCCAATTTTCAGTTTATTGTGTATTATAAAATTTCTAATTAAGAATCCTTTGTGCATAGCAAACCAAGCGAAGTCTGAAGTTCGCGGAAGAATCAGTAACCCCTCAAAACCCAAAAAATAAAACACAAAGCCTATGGCATCTGGTTCTCTCTTCCTCTCTCTGAGAAGGTAATTTCTAAAACCCCGTATTTTCTCATTCTTCGTTTTGCCAATTCTCTGTTTGGTTTCCACGAAGACCCATTGAAGAAAAACTGTTTTTTAATTGAAAGCACCTAACTTTACTCATTTTCTCATTTCCTAAACACAAAAAGATCCAAACTTGGATCTCTATGTGCATTAGAGAAATGGAAACCTGTTAGGTTTCTTTCTTCAGGTGGTGCTTTAAGAAGTGCAAGTGAATTCCATGAAGAAGAGGAATTGAATACGAAGGAAAATGAAGATGACTTGAAGAGTAGAATTTTCAGGCTTAGACTTCCAAAAAGAAGTGTAACAAATGTTATCGACAAATGGGTCGGAGAAGGAAACACTGTTTCTTCTTCTGAGTTAAGGCATATCTCTAAAGAGCTACGGAAGTCTCACCGTTTCAAGCATGCACTTGAGGTTTGGATTCTGTTTGTTGTTTGCTCATTTTGGAAGTTTTTTTGGATACCCTTTTGTTTTGGATGCTTAGAAGTAATAGAGTTGGAGGAATTAGATTACTGAAGTGTAAAAACTTTGGTGCTTTACATTGATATATCAGAAGAGAATTATTCTTTTATGAATCTTAGAAATCTGTGTCTGGATAGTAATGTGATTGGTTGACTAGAGAAGTAGACTGAGAGTAGCACACAATAATACTAGATTTTGGTCTAGGATTTTAGCATCTTTTGGCTTTTATATGTTTATTTTTGACATAGCTATATCTATCTTTCCTTCCAATTCTTACTGGTCTTTCTATTGCACGTAATGTTGTTTATAAGTTTAGTGTGATAGGTCTGGACGAAGTTTTAAGGGTTACAAAACTTTATTTGAGGAATTTAGATTTCTGGTTAGTCATAGTCCCTGTATAGGAGGCAGTATAATTAGTTTGTAATTTGCTTGAAATTGAAAAATCAGGTTTCAGTTTTGGACAAGAAATAGTATTAAAAGGATTTCTGTGAGTCTTTCATTGGTAAGGATAGTCATGTGCACTTGTTCCCATCACTGTTCAAGGAAAGAAGGTAGGAGGGAACATTCTAAAATTTTTTGTGCATTGATGCAAAATGGCACAGGGGAAATTTTTAACTTACTAAAGAATGACTGAGATGATTAAGAACATCTTAGAAAAGGTTAGGTGTTTGGGGTGGGGAAGAGGGGAGTGAGGTGTGCTGCTAGCTCACAGGAGATGATAAAGAAGGAGATAATGATAGATGAGGTAGATTGATAATGGGAGAGGTTCAAATTCTTGGGCTGCTGTGGTTGAGTTGCAGGGCTCATGAAGATGATTTATTGCTGAATCCTGACTCTTATCGGAGAAATTATGAACCATTTTTGTTTATGTTCTATGTGCACAATTTATGGAGATCATTTTTGTTGGGATAAGTATATGACAAAGTGATGACTATTCTAGAAAGATTTCATTGGTTAAACTCATAACTCAACAGATGCAGTTTGCTTTGTGGAAACTTTGATTTTTTATGGTCAATGGCTTATCAATTAGCATAAGACATAAAACTTCAAAATCCCATAATGCTTAGCTTTCATGACATTTGTTTTTACCCCTTTCCTTTAACTATTACTGAAGTCGAAAGCATTGGTTAGGAAATTTCAAACAAAATTTCCTGTTATGACAATATTTTGCTTTTCATGGTATCTGTTGATTCTAATACATAATACTCACTAATGTCATATAACTTATATGTGCTTGCAGATATCAGAATGGATGGTGACTCATGAAGAGTTCCAGTTATTGGACTCTGACTATGCAAGCCGTATTGACTTGATGACAAAAGTTTTTGGTGTTGATGCTGCTGAACGCTACTTTGACGGCCTACCTCTTACAGCAAAAACTACTGAAACCTACACTGCTCTCCTCCACTCTTATGCTGCGGCAAAATTGATTGAAAGAGCTGAGGAATTTTACGAGAGAATAAAGGGATCAAATCTGTCCTTCACTGCTCTCATGTACAATGAGATGATGACTTTGTACATGTCAGCTGGACAGCTGGAGAAAGTATCTCTAGTTGTTGAAGAACTGAAACGTCAGAACGTTGCTCCTGATATCTTCACCTACAATCTCTGGATAAGCTCATGTGCAGCAGCTTTAAATATTGATCAAGTTAGAAGAATTTTAGATGAAATGAGTGAAGACTCTGGTGCCAATGATGACTGGATGAGATACATTAAGATAGCCAACATATATGTCACGGCAGGTCATCTTGTGAATGCAGAGTCCAATGCTGCCGCTGTAGTTGAAACCGAGAAAAGAATCACACAAAGAGAATGGATAACATATGATTTCCTTGTTATTCTATATGCAGGTTTAGGAAACAAAGATAAAATCGACCAAATATGGAAATCCTTGAGAATGACTAACCAGAAAATGACGAGCAGAAACTATGTTTGTGTTCTTTCTTCGTATCTGATGCTTGGACATCTGAAAGAAGTGGGAGAAATTATTGATCAATGGAAACAATCTACCACTACAGACTTTGATATCTCTGCATGCAGTAGGCTTTTGGATGCAATCTCTGGTTTAGGACTAACTGAAATTGCCAACAACTTTCATATGCTACTGATTGAAAGGAATTGTGACCCCACCAATATATCAGAGTAAGTGCTTGACTCAGATTAAAATGGTTATGAAACCATGCCATTGGCAACACCTTTATGGACAATCCATAGAGCGAATAAATACACTTGCATTTCTTACTGGTTTGCTGCATATCCAAGAGCAAGACTTAATTACAAACTGCAAGCTGACACTCTGTGGTGAGCTACTGCTCATTTTCTTGAAACTTGTAAATTCATATCTATGTTTCTTTTTTCGTAGTCCCTGTTGAATCCATCAGTGGTTCATCCATCAGTGGTTCATCCCTGTACACTTAACTGGTCATGGAACCAAAGCTATTAGAATTGGATTAGATAACGAGCTCCATGTATTGGTATTGGATTCTGAGAGAAGAGAATAACTGCAGTTGATTTTGCTGCTATTTTTTTTTGGTTGTTCATAGCTTGTGCTACTGAAATCCTTTTTGCAGATGAATAAATACACTTGCATTTCTTTCTTTTGCTGGCATTGATTTGTACCCAAAGATGTGCATACATTTGCTGTTTAGTGTTGCAGTCTGGGGCCGGTAGGGGCCGGGGCGTTCAAATATGCTTTCTTATGTGCTGCCATGTATAGAAATGAGAACCAAACCTCTTTTACCATCTTGTTATTGCACAAGTCTCTCTGGTCTTTTCATTTTTACCCTTTTTCAGACCTGGCAGCATGCATCGATCATGTATTTCTTATAAATCATGCAAACCTACACAGAAAATGCCTATAATGTTTTGAAAGGCACTGTGTGTTCTGAAATTGTGAAAGTTTTGTGTGAGATTGCTGAATGGAAGTATAATGTTGCATAATATTGTGTGAACTGGATAAAATTCTATTATAATAAAAGATAATTGTGATTAAGTTATGGAAATTTCTGAAAAGAACCGCAGGGCAGTGTAGATGGCATCAACTTACATCATTGCAACTGTGGAAGTTAGGCAGTAGTTCAAGGCCGACACTTGAGTTGTACTCTATCATTCAATTTTGTTTATGGAAATTTCTGAAAACTACAGGGCATTGTATCTGGAAATGAAAGCATGAGAAGGACGTTCCAAAGACCACTTCAACATCTTTCTACTATTCTTTTGCCTTTGCATGAAATCATTTGTAATCTCAAACCAAAAACCTATCAGTTGCAACATCAAAATCAAATCGAGTAATTCAATGATCCTCACTTCAATTATTGGAGTGATCAATTCAAATGCACTGTTGTCCTAAAAACAAAAACAAAAAAGTACGGAAATAATTTGCTAGAGAATTTGGTTTTTTTTTCCCCCCCTTAACAATGGGAGACCCAGTAGGACATAAACTATAAAATAGAAGGAAGCCATTCGTAAGCCCAGAATATCAGTTTTGGTTCAGTTTCAGGGGGAAAAAAAAAATTGAACTTAAATCGTTTAGATTATTCGGATTCAAATTTGATTTCAAAAATTTTAAATTTAATTTCAAACGAGAACTGGATTATTATTATTATTATTATATAAATAATGAAACCCTAACGACTAAAAAAAACTCTATCAATTACTAAAACAATTTCTATTAAATTGCTTCAATCTATTTTTTATGTTTGAGGTTATGATTCTTGTGAATGTATTTTAATTGCTAAATTGAGACTATGAATTAATATTAGTGCACATATTCAAGTCAATTTTCACTTTCAAGTTCCTTGAAACCACGGTCTATTACAAATAGTTTTTGTAATAATCATATTGGGTTTAATTTTTGGCCTTTATTTTGAAGCATAATTTTATTTAAAAAATAATTTTATTTGATAAAAAATTGAACCGATTAATTGAAAACCAAAATCAAATATATAAAAATAAAAAACCGAATGTAATCTTTTAGTTTTTTCTTTTCATTTTCTCTTTCTCGCTGAATTCAAATCAAATTTTCATAAAAATATCTAGACTATGAAAGAGTTTTTTTTTTTTTAAAAAAAAAAAAACTTTTTCATTTCTCTTCTAAACTAGTGGTTCATATTGAAAGTATTATATACATAATTTTTTTTCACAATCTTTTTATAAATTATAACAATCTAAAAAATATTATCCTTTTAACTTTTAATCAATTATTAATTATTACATAATATAAATATTTTTAATTCGCATTTTTCTTAAATATCTTTTAAAAAATTATATTTGAACAAATTTTTTATAAGACAAACTTTAATTATATATATATATATATATATATCTAAAATTTTAGCTAAAAAATACTTATTTTAAAATAAATATAAATAAAAAATAGACATTTTTTTTTCAAATATGTCTAATTAAATTTCATTTTATAAACTCGTTTATCACTTGTGCCAAACTCTCATGGTTGATGACTAAAACATGGACCACAGCTCCATAAAAGCAAAGGTAAGGGTCACTAGAGCTATGCTAGTAGGCTACTAGTAGTTAACAGAAACGCGCGAGATTCCAACGGTTGTTGTGTTTCACGTGTGGTCAAGTGCCCTTTCCTTTCTCTCTCTAAAAATTAAATATCAAAATCAACAAAATACTGAACTTAGACTCCTAGTAGTAGAATGAAACTTTCCGTTTCTATGAAACCTTTCTTTAATCCTCCTTAAAAAACCATAAAGTTTCAATCTTTCTTTCATTTCTTGGCTATGAAGGTATGATGTTACATCCACATCGTTCCCTAGCATTCTCTTTGTCCAGTTTCTGTTTGTTTCCTGGGAAAATGTTAGAAAACAGAAGGAAAGTGGGGTATTTTCCTTTTCTGTTTTTCTTTTTGAAATTAGATAGTGAGTTAATGGCATCAACTATACCAAACCCACTTATTTCTTAGGTTTATTTGAGTTGGGTTTTTGCTTTTTTCACTGTTAGTTTCTTTTTTTGCCAGTTTCACGCCAACAAGATGGGTTTTGTTTGCTTTCCTTTTTTTTTTTTTTTTTTTTTTTGTGCTTTTGGTGAGTGGAGAGTTTGGTTCCGTTAGGTACTAGACAAGTAAAAGTTCATATTTGGTTATGGGATCTATCAGTATATTCCTTTATTTGAAACTGCTTAAGCAAGTAGGTCCTTTTTGTTTGCTTAAATCTCTCATTCTCATGTTGGGCATTTTTAATGTTCGCAGATTTTGTTTATGAATCAAAGTCAATCAATGTCTGAGATCTTTGAATCATCGATGAACATTGATTGGAAGAAGAAGAACAAGAGGCTTCTGGTGTTTAAAGGTCCAATCTTGCTATTTTTGTACTTTTTAAAAAGAAATTTGGTGTAATTTTTGAAGTAATTTTGAATTAAGATTGAGCTTTTTTTGTTATTGAGTAGAGTAAATGAGTGTTATGATTGATACCCATTTGTTGGACTTGCAGAATGTATGCAAAGATCCAGTCTTGTGATAGAGTGCTTATTGCTTTGATTTCACTTGAAAAGAGTTTTAGTTTATCTTTATTTTGTAAATTTTTGGAGCAATGTTGTTAGTGGAAGGATGTAATAATTTTCCGGTTGTGGATTGTTTTGGAATTGCTTGATTTTGAAGTTTGATGGAATCCTTAAGGAGGAAGAGGAAGGGCCTTGAAATCTTGCCTTCATCTTTCAAGTCCCTTGCTTCATTAACAGTAATTTTGTCGCACTTGTCATTGGGAGATTATTCAAGGCAAAGGAAGAAGTATAAGGAAGATGAGGATAGAGAAGTTGTTGGCTCTGGTAGAAGTGTAGTTAAAGGCTTTTTAACTGCTCCACCTTGTAAGAGGGTCTCTGCAGATCCACCTTGTAGGGGTATTAAGAGGAAAATTGGGTGTATTGATGTGGCAACTCAGTTGGGCAGGAAGAAAAAAATTGAGAAAGATTACGACTTGGGTACGTCTATAGGGCAAGGGAAGTTTGGGTCGGTAGTTTTGTGTAGAAGTAAAGTGACCGGAGAAGAGTTTGCATGCAAAATGTTGCGCAAGGGTGAGGAGCTTGTGCATCGGGAAGTGGAGATTATGCAGCACCTCTCAGGTCATCCTGGTGTAGTGACATTGAAGGCAGTGTATGAGGATTTAGAATCCTTTTATCTTGTGATGGAGCTCTGCACTGGGGGACAATTGCTGGACCAGATGGCTAAGGAAAGACAGTATCCAGAGCATAGAGCTGCTAATATACTCAAGGAAGTGGTTTCAGTTATCAAATATTGCCATGACATGGGTGTTGTTCATCGCGACATAAAGCCAGAGAATATCCTTGTCGCAACCTCTGGGCAGATGAAGCTTGCGGACTTTGGTCTAGCTGTGAGGATGTCAAACGGTAATTATGATCTGTCAATATTTTTTAAGTATTTTGCTATATCCAAGCGCATTCACACACACCCATGTATATGAGTGTCTATTATATACTATTCAGATTTATTTTTTCTTTCTCAAATGCCATCTATTTTTACTGTTTACTGTATGCATACAAGGGTTTTCAAAATCTTCCGCATTGTTCACTTCTGCAATACTGGTGTCATTTCCACTGTTAGGTTTTTCTGCAGCTTGATCATGTGTTGTTTGCTTTAATAAATAAACTTGTGTTTCTTTCTTGCAGGTCAGAGCCTCAGAGGTGCGGTTGGAAGTCCTGCCTATGTTGCCCCAGAAGTTTTAACTGGTGGTTATTCAGAAAAGGTTGATATCTGGAGTGCTGGCGTCCTCCTTCATGCTTTGTTGGTTGGTGTGCTTCCATTTCAAGGTGATTCATTGGATGCTGTGTTTGATGCTATTAAGAAGGTCAACCTTGATTTCAAAAGTGATTTATGGGAATCAGTATCTCAACCTGCACAGGATTTAGTTGCTCATATGCTGATGAGGGATGTTTCAGCAAGACTAACTGCTGATGAAATACTAGGTAAGCTTCCTCACCACTCTAGCAAACTTGATATAAAAAATGGTTCATGGTCCGTCTCACTGACATTGATTATCAGATGACACTTGATTGAAAGAATATTCTCTTTTTCGTATCAAATTTCCGCCAATGTAGCCTGGCTGCATCTCACCATTTACCATATGCTTCATTTGCCTTCTAGTAAATGCTGCCAAAAAATCTTTTTTTTGTTTCAACTCTGAATCTTTTATAGATCAATCTAGTTTTAGTGCTTAAGAGAACAAAACTAGGAATCAAGTCATCAAAATTAAGACACTTCTTTAAGATGATTTACCAGTTGAGGGTGGAACCAAAGGCAGAGAGTTCAAATAATTTGTGTACATTGTATTGTTATATTTGATACGGGGTTCATCAGAAGAGGAGAACCATTAAGCCTTTTAAGGTTTTGGCCCTTATTGCTGCTGTCCAGATAAGGAAGTTTTTTCCTTCTTTTTTTTTCTTCTTCTTCCAATACATGACTAACTATATGGTTCTTTGTGGAATTTATTGAATTTTCTCCCTTATCTTGTCCAGTTGCACCAACTGCCTGCAAGTTTGAGTTCAAACTGGATGGTAGTATATTCAGATAATATTTCCAGGCATTCAGTTATTTGATAATCATGCAATATGATAATGTCAGAATGGCTGCTTGCACAATATTATGATGCTTGACTTGGTATTTACATTAGTGTAATGGACATACGTAAAGAACAACTGCTGTCCACTATTTTGATTGGGGACCTGTGCTATATCTAATAGATGTTTATTCAAATATTTCCAAATTCAGCAATTCTTATGTCATTAGTTTGCTAGCTATGTAATGCTCCTTCAGGTTTTATTACTGTATGAGTGTGTATGATCAACTGCATGATTTTGCAGGACATCCATGGATCTTGTTCTATACAGAACCAACACAGATGGAACTAACCCGAAAACCAACGTTTCAAGACCATGTAACACTGACTTCACAACAGCTAACTGTCACAACTAGGTTGGAGTCAGAGAGATACAAGATAACAGCCAGTGGTTTTCTCAGTGATGACTCTAGCATAATTTTATCATCTGATGATTCAAGGTCAAGGTTGGAAGAACAAGACTGTGGATTGGTTGATGCTCTCACAGTAGCAATATCACGTGTGAGGATATCTGAACCAAAGAGAAGCAGGTTGTGTTGGCCCACAAGCCCTATCCGACAAGAGTGTTCCTCTAACATTAAGATTAACAACCTCTGTACAGCATTTTGATCCTGTAGTGTAAAAATGCTGACTCAGCTGCCAGGCATTGCCACTGTTAGTTATAGCTGGAATGGAAGAAAATTCTGTGGCAGGAGATTTATTGCTGCTTGGAGACAGAAGACTGAAGACTGAAGACGGTAACAATAAAACAGCCTTTCAGGTGAAAAGAAGTTGTAACTCAAATATTTTGTTTGTTTTGCTGTGACAACCATGTGGTATTTTATTGATGAGCTCCTCTTTTGATTCTTTTCTGTATTTAGCCTGATCTGAAATGCTAGGAAAATGTGGCTTTTGAGCTCTCTGTGTAAACAGCATGTGTTACTACTTGTTATGCTTTGCCTGAAGCTTTAGTTCAATGTTATATTTTCAATAAATGAAGCAAACATGAAAGATGTGTATGATTTTGTGTTGTAGAACTTGTTGTATTGATTGTCTGATTGGATCTTGGACATATATATATATATATATATATATATATATATATATATAGTCGAACTGGGTGGAATTTTTGGGATCTAATTGCTGATGTTGAGTAGACTCCAAAAATTGTTGATGGCGGATCCCAAAGCTATATTATATTAATTTAAAAGAACATTAAACACGGAAATCAATACAGGTGGTTTCAGGTTTCAGTTTTTGTTAGTACCTTCAGATCTTCTCATGGTGTACATCTTACTCTTTTACACGTATAGATTGTTTGGACTGTCAAAATTTGCTTTCAAAAGTCAAGAAAACAATAAAATATTGCATGATTCAAACTTTGCCATGAAGTTCGACGTTTGAAGTAAAATACTATGGCCATATCTTTCTAAGCATGCCGATAAACAATAACACAAAAATGTTAAATTTGCAATGTAGTGCGATGAATTCTAGCTTTGTTAGTTTCTCATAGACTTGGGGTTAGTTTAGGATTATGTGCAGAAACTGCATATGCAAGTTATTTAAGGTAGTCACATGATCGAGTCTTTCAAGGGTTTTTTTTTTTTTTTAGATTAACTTGTTTCCATTTGACACCTTTTTAACTTGGGAGGTTTCTTTTCAGTTCAACTGTATAGTTTTTAAGCAAGAGAAATATGCATGAGATGGGGATCTAATTTCTTTATCATGATTTCTCACTTTTGAGAGAGAGAGAGTCTCTCCCATTACTTTCATGGCCAAATCACCTCCAGAATTAAGCAGACCCACAAATCCCACTCTAAAAAGACCTTCCTACGCTAAACAGCGCACTACCATGTCATTCTCTTCTTTCTACTCCCCTAGACTATCCATCTTCCTTCTAGCCCTTTGTGGTGCTCTCTTCACTTTCTACAACATCCAGTCCCTCCATGCCCCAGTACCATCTTCACCTTCATGGTCTCTAATGCACCAATGGGAAAGAGTAAGTAATTGCATCCAAGAATTCAAATCCATGGCTGAAAAACTGCAGCAGGCGGTTACATTTCTCCCACTTAAGGACTTGCGTTATGCAGATAAAGCTCTTCAAGGGCACACGTGGTTCATGAGCTCTATGTATGATACTCATGAAGAAGGTGAGGTGCAATATCAGCAGTTTCCTTCAGAAGCATCGAAAGGTAGGTTACTTTGCCTGAAAGGGAAGGAGACACATGATGGTTCTTGGAATTCATATGCACTGGCATGGCCTGAAGCATTGCCTATCAACGCCACACTTCTGAAAGGACTAACCTTTGTATCATATAACCATTATAATTATGATAATATCTGGCATGGGTTATCAGCTATGGTACCATTTGTCGCTTGGCATATAAGAAATGGGTGTGAATCGCCTAGTAGATGGATTTTGTACCACTGGGGTGAGCTCAGGTTCAAAATGGGTCCATGGCTAAGGACCCTAACAGAGGCCACATTTGGTGGAGCGCCATATATTGAAAGCTTTGAAGGGGTTAATGATAGTCAACCAGTTTGTTTTGAAAAAGCTGTGGTGATGAGGCACAATGAAGGAGGCATGTCAAGGGACAGGAGGATTGAGACTTATGATTTGATTAGGTGCAAAGCTAGGTTTTATTGTAATTTAAGCTTAGAAGGTAGGATTGATGAGGTTAATAAGCAAGGTTTGCCTGTAACTAGCATGACCCTGTTCATGAGGACTGGTCCGAGATCATTCAAGAATGAGTCTGCTGTGATTGGAATCTTTGAGAAGGAGTGTGCTAAGATTGATGGATGCAGATTGATGGTGGCATACTCCAATAACCTAACATTTTGTGAGCAGGTTAGTTCAGATTCTTTGTTTCTTGTCTCTTTTACATTAACAATTATAACCTAAAAGCTAAAAAACATTAAGTAGTTTAATTAGTTAGTGGGATATGTGTGAATCCCACTTAAGGGAATGCTATCTATTGACAACCTTAAAGAGAAGAGGCTTTTAGGAAGCACTTAGGATTATTAAACTGAAGATGTTTACATGGACACATTTGTGCTCATAAGGTTGTTGATCATGCTGGCACTTACTCTGCCTTTGATCTGCTAACAAGTCTTTAGAAGGTGATCAACCTGCAGGCAACACCCAAGTTTAGATTTTGCTGAAAATTTAGGCTTGGCTCATTTGATTTGCGAAATTCATGGAGAAGGAAAAGATAAAGGGTCGAAGATTTTCATTTCTTAAAGAAAGCTCTTTGAGTGAGACTCAAGACTTGGGCCAAAAAGGCTGGCCACATGACAGCATCCACCCTAAAAACACAGCGTTAAAGGCCAGCCCCCCATTTTCTGATATGAGCTTTGAGTGTCTATCACTTAATTTTTTTGGTGATTTCGAACTTCAAAGTAATTAAGAGAATTAACTAAATAGGAATTTTATAGATTTTGTACACTCCCCCACATCAAGCACATTTTTAGGCTCCACAAAATAGGACAGCAATTTCATTTTGTATGATCAGTGTTTGGTGCCCACATAGATATCACAAAATAACTTGGTGATTTTATCGCTGATATCTAATGAAGCCGATTTTTGGTAATTATTTAATCTGTTGATATTTCAGGTGAAACTGATGAGCTTGACAGACATTCTAGTATCTCCTCATGGTGCTCAATTAACCAACATGTTCCTAATGGACAAAAACAGCAGCGTCATGGAGTTCTTCCCGAAAGGATGGCTTAAACTTGCTGGAGTAGGCCAGTATGTTTTTCAATGGATTGCTAGCTGGTCTGGGATGAGACACCAAGGTGAATGGCGAGACCCTGACGGCGACGAATGCCCCTATGCCGAAGATGATCGCCGGTGCATGTCGATTTACAAGAGTGGCAAGATTGGATTCAACGAGACTTACTTTGGTGAGTGGGCTAAAAACGTTCTCAATGAAGTGAAAGCAAGGAAGTTGAAGGAAGCAGCAAATAAGTCTAGTGCGTCAACTTCTGGTTGTGCTTGTGACTAATGCAAATTTTTGGTTTCTTTTTTCACCTTCGCAATCTACATTTTCTCATGGCATGTCTTCAAACTCGAAATCTAAAAAGACAGTACTTATTTTAATTGAATTATATCTGATTGTTATTGGGCTAAATAATACAAAATATTTTGAACTTTCGGTCAAACTAGAATTGGCTCATAAGTTCTAAAATTTTAATTTGATTGACATGTACTTTTTTTTTTTCTTTTTGATAAATAATAGATTCTTTCTGTTAGTTTTTCAGCACTTACTATACATATAAGTCATATAATCGTCTTTTAAAAAATAACATATATCCTATTAATTAAAATCTTCATAAACGTGTCACATTTTAAATTTAAATTAGTAAAATAGGTGTTATTTTTCGCATGCTATCAGCATTAAAAGAATCAATATTTATCTCTAGTTTATGATAATTCAATTAAAATTTTCAAAGTTAAAAATCTATCTTAGTTTTTTTTTTTGCAAAAAAAAAAAAACTCGTGATGTTTTAGAATCATTTAGTCTAATATTAATTTATTTTGGAAGAATTTTCTGTTGCACTATTCAACAAACCAATTTAACTGCCTAAATTTACCCAATAAAAAAATTGAGTAAGATGTTATTAGCTTAATTTTGGGAGTCCCAAATTGGGCCAGCTAGATAGGCATAAATAAATCCTGCATACAACAATTAATGATGGGTCGACTTTTTTTGGACCTTATGATTGCCAAGCCATATAATAACACAAATACAATAATGAAGAGGCAGACTGTTGTCACCAACAAAATTTCATGGGGCATGATTATAATATAAATACACCTATTTTTAATTTTTATTTTTTTGGCCAATTGAGTATTTAATTTTCTTTTATTTGATTATATGGATTTTTTTTTTAAAAAAAAAACTCTCAATCAAATAATTATGTTCAAGTTTTCTTTTCATTCTTTAAGTGAACTTTTCATCTCAAATTATTTTATTATTTTCTTACTTTTAGAATATAAAGATAATTTAGTTATTTAGCATAAAAAAAGAAGAAAATGACAAAATAATTTGAAAAAAAAATCTTCTTTGAGAATAAAAAGAGTAATTCATAGAAGTGTGATGTTAAATATTTGATTGACAATTTAAACAGTGTTATTGTACTAAGAAAAAAAAATTAAATGATAGATTAATTATTATTTAATTTTTTTTCCTTCACAAGTCTTGGTCATAAAAAAAAAAAAAAAGTAAAATAGTTTCGGAATTACATTTGCATGTTTAATTAAAAATTAAATGATAGATTAATTATTGTTTAATTTTTAAATATTACTTACATTTTTTTATAGAGAAATAAGATATAAAGCATAGGTGTACAGGTATAAGCGGGCAGCGGGAATCTAACCCACATCATTAGCTTAGGAGGCCAGGGGTTATAGTCAACTCGTTATTTGATTGAAAAAATAAAAATAAAAAATTAGTATATTTGAAGTATAATTATCTAAAATTTCATAAAATTCAATTATCAACAATGAGAAACATTAGTTTGAGTTTACATGTGAGTTGCTTGGAAAATACTTTTTTTTTATGTAAAATAAAAAAATAAATAAAGATAGACACACATCCATAAGTATGTGTATACAATTCATACATGTAGTTATGCTTGTCACTCTCATTTAGTTGAAATAAGAAAAGGAAAAGAATTAATTTGGGTCAGAAAAATTCTCATCAACCATCAATGAAACCAATCAATCCTGACCCAGTTAATTTCAATCTCACTTATTCACCAAACATAATTTCATGTGCGTAAAGATCTTGCTGCCCAAAACTGCAAAACATTCCACAGAAAATATTAATTGAGCAGGTGGGAGTTAAACGACGAATGAGAAAATGAAATAAGTGGAGTAATGAGAAAAGGAAAGAAAGGGAGGAGACCACATAGCGTGTAGGCTTTGCTGGTTTAAGGGTTCAATATATAATGTCTTGCCAAACCCCAACAACCAATGGGGACATGCATGTGGGGGGAAAGAATGGAATTTGATAGTAACGTGGCTCATTTCCCACCACCACCCTTCTACCCTACCTCAACCTCTATTTCTAAATAAATAAAACAATAATGATACAGCCCTTAAATAATGTTCAAAATCACTCATTTTCATCCAAATCACTTCATAAGTCAATCCCCAAATTGATAAGATAGAAGTCACATTCAAGTTTGGCTTATTAACCAAAGTAGTTTACAGTAGCGTCCATGGTTAAAAAAAGCTTGCGTTTAGAGCTTCATGAATGATTAGTTGAGGTGGGCCTTGATTGAGGGATCATTAATCTCTTGGATTTGACAGGAAATGAAAATGCTTTTTCTTTAGCGCCTTTTAGAATGTTGTAATGGCAAATTTTATTATTGTTATATTACAATTTAATAATTTCAGATTTTGATATTAAATTAAGTAATTTAAATTTAAATTATTAAATTTTGAGTAAAATAGATCTTTTTTTTTAATTATCATTATACGTGATGATCAATTAGGTTGACATTTATTTAAAATATCAAAACGACGTTATTTTGACATTTCGTAATTAATTATATTTTTAAAAAATTAAAAAATTATTTTTAACCCTTCTAATCTTGAACTTAAAAAAAAATCTTGAAAAATATTATAAATATTTTTAACCCCCTTAATTTTGAACTTTTTTTAATTTTTTTATAAAAATATTTTTTTATAATTTATAAAATTAGGGAATCAACCCTTAATTATGCTCATTTTAACTTATAAAATGCTATAATTTATATTATAAACATTTTAATGCTCGTTGGATATTATAAACATTTTATAAAAAAACATTATAAAAAAATATAATTAAAAATACATAATTTTAAGCCTTTAAAAAATTTATAAATTAAAATGAGCATAATTAAGGATTGACCCCCTTAATTTTGTCAATTATAAATTATATAAATTTTTTTATAAGATGTTTATAGTATTTTATAAAAATAAAAGTTTAAAAATAAGTTCAAAATTAAGGGTGGTTAAAAATATTTATTAAAATTTTTTATATAATTTATAAAATATTATAATATTTTATAAGAAAAAAAGTTTTTAAAAAAATTTCAAGATTAGCAAGGTTAAAAATATTTTTTAAAAAACATAATTAATATTAAAATGTCAAATAGATGTCTTTTTGACATTTTACGTAATGTTCAACCAAGTTGACTATTACATATGACGACAATTAAGGAAATCGGATCATTTTTGCCTCAAAACTAACGAGTTTGGGATTTAAATTATGCAATTTGATACTAATAACCTAAAATTGTCAAATCGCAATAGAATAGGGGCAAAATTTGTCATTAAACCCTTATAAAATGCATGGAAAATAATTCACATTTGTGAATTGTGACACTATTTTTTTTTTTTTTTCATATGAACTTATAGGCAACTTATAATTGGAGAACATGCATTTTAAAATTTATTAAATGTTTAGTTAAACATTTGAAAAAAAAAATTACCACTTTTGTTTCTTTACACTACATTTATATAGTTTATTAAGAAAAAACTAATATATTTAGATCTACGTAGTAAAGGTAGACAATATTTCCCCTTCCTAAATCTCGACTTACATTTATTAAATTTTGGATCTAAAGTCTCCAAATAATTAAAGTTACCAGTATCAACTCTCGTTGGATACAAATTAATTATCTCTTATACAAAATTTATATATACACCTTCTTCTTTTTTCTATAGATATTTTTTTTAGAATTAGAAAAATAAAAAAAAAGAAAGAGAGATGGTATACTGCAAAGACAACAGTGGATATAAGTAGTATTTTAACTAGATTGGATAATATTATCCTTTGAAGTACATTACTTTGAAATATTCTATTTTCACTTATTTATATCTTGTATAATCAACATAATATTCAGTACTTGTTACATACTAGCTAGCTTGTTATCAATACCGAAGTGCATGGCTACTTGTCGGAAGAAGATGGGAGGATCCCCACATGGTCGTCGGCCAATTATTAGGTTGATGTCAATTTTATTCTCTCATATTCTACTCTTAAGGATCTGACTTCCAACTGAATACAGGTCTGGATTTCTATGTCTAATGAAACATGAGATAGAAGTATAGAGATCAGTACTTGTGTCTGCATGCCAAGAGCTTCCTCTCTTTTTTTGTTTTTTGTGCTAAATTTTGCACTTCCACCCCACCACCACCCCCACCCCCAATTTTAGTGTGTTGATCGATATAAGAATACTTCAAATGATCCACGAACGTACTAATTTGGTTAAAAAGCAAGTATAATTAATTATTTGGTTGTGATGCAATCTAATTATTTATGCTAATAACTACACAATTGCTCACGCGTTGCTGTGTTTATTATTAAAAAAAATAAAATTATTTATGAAAATATAGAGATTTAATTCAACAAATCAATGGATAGCACTATTTGTAATTTAAAATAAATAAATAAATAGACATTACATGTAATTAAAAAAAAAAGCATATATGAATTATTAGAAAAACACTTACGAGAAAATTTATAAAGAAAAAGAGATCTATCTAAAAAATCTATAATTTAGCGATAGAAATCGGTGATGGACAACATGTTGTCGCTATGCAATGATGGATCTACGAACGAATAATGACTCGTCATCAATTTGGGTTGTTAACAACAAAATACCGAGGACAATCAACAACGAAACCCTTCCATTGCTAAATAACATAGCAAATTTCGATGGCTCTTTAAGCGACAGATTACCAACTAAATTGCAATAGCATTCAGGTGACGGATCATGATTATCGTCGCTAATGTTTGAGCCTTCTTTCGACTTATTAGCGGCGAATATTTCATCGCTAAATCCTTTAATTTAACACAAATTTGTGATAGATCATGTCCGTCGCTATAAAATTCAATATCAACAACGAACATGTCGATTCATCGATATGTGGAAAGAAGGCACTACTTTAAAATTTAAAATCATCGACGAACACTTATTTTCATCATTGATTTGCGACGAAATCAACAAC